CTATATAGTTAAGAATTTTCCATAAGCTATAACATTCAAGACAGAGTAGGTGGAAGCTTTACATGTCTGAGTATGGGCAAGTGTCATTTTTTACCAAGAAATAGTCAAAGTAGTTTATCTGTCCTTTGTGAGTATGCATATATCCTGAAGTCAGAACTTACCGAACATAAACAGATATACTCAACATACATACCTAAACATTTGCTGTGTAAGAAATACATGCATGAATTTACTGAGATGTCAAGGACATCTTAAAAGAGAAGTCTTGTGTTTTTCTTTTAAGAAGAATGAAACAAGGTAGAATACATAGCTCACCAAACTCAGGCAGCTGTACCCTATAAAAACTTAGTGATTCATGACTTTAAAATACCAAATATACAATGATAACTCCCAAACTTTTATCTCTCACACTAACCTTTCACCTGTAATGTAAACTTTCTATATAACTACCTACTGGATATTTCCATCTAAATAGGTATTAAGACTTTCTTCATTTACAATTTGTAAATTCATCCTTCAAATACAATCTGTCTGCCCTCTGTCAGTCACTTACCATACCCTCTGTCAGTCATATACCATACCCAACCTATCAGGAAATCCTGACAGCTCCACTGTCAAACATACCCAGAATCTGTCCTTTTCTTGCCATATCTAGTAACACAGTCCCAGGTAAAGATACCACTTTATCCGCCTGCTCTCCAAATTCATCTCTATCTAATCTTCCTCTGCCCTTCCTAACTGATATGATCCATACATACTTCTTGCTATTCCCCAAAACATTAAACATCCTCTTACCACAAGGCTTTTGATGTTTTAATCCCTTCTGGCAGCAGGATTTTTCATATAGCTTATTTTCTCCTTCCTTATATTTCTGCTTAAATATCAGTAAAGAGAGCTCTTTACTGACCACTTTATATTAAAGAGAAAGGAAGAAAGAAAGAAAATATCCTTTCCCAAGTACTCTTAATAATAATTCTTTTTTCGGGACCAGTAGATGGCATAATGGTTACGTCACTGGACTCCCATGTAATTGACTGCAGTTTGAGTCCTGAACCTGGCAGCTTAAAACTTGTGCCGAGCACATGTGTGTGCATGCCCAAAAACCCAAAAGGAGAATGGAAGAGAAGGGATTATGGTGTGGTCATCCCCCCAGAAGGCAATTTCTTGCTTTCTGTCTCTGGGTCTCTCTAGTGAGTGCATGCACCTATACAAAAATCTCTCTAAAAATATTTTTTAAATAAAAAAAAATTCTCTTTCCAATTTGATTATCCCTGAGCAGTTAAAGAAACATGTAAAAACTTTTCAACTCTCTTCTGTGAAAATTTTAATATGGATTTTTTTACTTTACTTTGAAATCTCATGTTGATTTTATCTTGGTTCCTCAGTAGAAACTGCCTGGTTTACATCCTACCAATATTTTTCTTTGTAATGTTATGCTTCTTGTACTAGAATACTAACTCTATAAAGCAGAATTTCATCTTTTGTTCATTAATATATCTCTAGCATCCATAATAGAGTATTTTTAAAATTAATTAACCCATAAAACAGGTGAACAATAAAGAAATATATTTTAGTGGCCATTTTAAAATTTATTCATATATCAATATATCTCTCAACAATAAATTTCATGATATTATTTCTCAGTGGCAATAAAGAAAAAAATAAGAATTTTAGGCAGACCTAAAAAGTGGCCAAATTTGAATAGAGGGCAAAATAATC